CCTGCTGAAACCAGCTCACTGTACCAAGAGCAGCACTGCACCAGTGCAGACAGGCTTTGTAGTCCAGTGTTACTTTGAGAACTCAGATGAAATGGAGACCTGTTTCATTTCTTTGTCTTTACCCAGTCACTGTTTAATGTAAAATTCATTAAAAAGTTAGTGCGTTTTCAAACCAACAGCTCCAAAGGTACAGAGATTTTACGCCCTTCGTTAGTGACTGTGTACCCGTTGTGTCAGCACAGAAAGTTTACCCCTTGCTTTCTGATGCTTGCTTTTTATGTTTAATGACTGTGATTTTAAAGTTTTGCTTTGCACAGCTAGCAGGTTTTATTATTGCTGTTAATATATTATTTTTGTCTTCCACAGCAGTGTTAATAAACTTTGAGAAGAGTAGCACTTCTATCCTGCCAACTCTTCATATTTTTGGCCTTAATATTTACAGTCTCTTTAAGCTTGTGAGAGCTCTGTATTTTCAGAATCTTTAAATGGAAATATTTTTCTTTCCTTTTATTTCTTATCATTTCCTGTAGAAATAATGCGATCATTGTGATTCTCAGAGTTTCAAACCAATGGAATTGATCATTCTTGTTTCCATCTGACCTGTTTCAACACACAGCAAAAGTTTTCTAATTTCTCAAGTCCCAAAGACTGAGGAGGGTACAGTATTTAAACCAACTAACTTTTTCATGGAATTATTATTCAAACCCTATCCTCATAGCATCTGAGGTTTCATCAACTTGCAGACAACAATAGTCAATGTTATACGTCACATTTTAATAGGGCTGTCTGTCTCTCTCATGTAAGATATGTGGGGTTTTTTTTTCAAAATAAAGGTGTTTTCACTCAATTACAGTCAGAGTAATATTTAAGGTTGTATTAATCACTGAAGCAAACAATTCCAGGTTTGTAAAGAACCCAATTGGAAGTCCTCTGGAGCTAATTAAAAGCTTCCCCTTTACATTTACAACTAAGAGCCACAAACTGGGAAGAAATTTAAGATACTGGTCTACTTTTTCACAGAGTGCATTATTGGACTTCCACCTGCAGTTATCACCATGTTTCACTCTGGATTTTTTTTTTTTTAGCTTCATGATTACAAATGTCTTTTTTTTTTTCCAATTAATTGGAAAATAATTTCATTCAGGAGGAATCTTTGCCTTGAATACAGCTCTGCATTTGAGTGTTTATCTATATGTATCTTAAATTATTGAGATGTTCTGTAATCTTCTGAGGTACAAAAATGCTTTTACATTCAAGTTATATCTTAGTGATTCGGAGATACCAATTAACAGTGAAGTGGTTAACCATGTAAGAAACTTAAATTGCATACAGAGATGAATCAGGAAGTTTATCCTACTTGTCATTCAGCAAAATCGTATTAATTTCAAGTGCCCAGTTTTACCTGTAAGTCAGAATGCCTTCATGAGCACTCAAATAGTAGTAGTAGTAAGCAAAATCATCAAAATGATCAAGATTAACATAAATTCTTAGATTTATTGCAGGTTACTGCATACAGTTTACCCCAAATGGGAAGGACTAAGACTGTATTGTTAATATGCAACCATTGAAATACCATTTTGTATCCATGAAAAAGAATGTCTTAAATTCTTGGAATCTGCACAAATACCAGTTAGAAAGATATATTACTCTAGTACTTTCAGAATGCAGGCTTACAGAACACATACAATTTAGGGTTCCTATTCCACAACAGGAAATTTTATGCTTAAGCAGGACATATGAATAAAAAACCAGAAATGCCCAGGAATGCTTTCCTCTTTTAATTACCTTTTTTAAAAAAAATAAATATTTTTTTTTACGCCTGATGTCCATTTTTCTCTTTCTTTTGGTTTACCATAACTTTTTCTAGTTTTTAATAATGACTGCAGCTAAGTGTTACCTTCATTTTTGCCATGATTTCATATCTTTTAACTGAGTTACTGTGCAGAAGCATTAAGAGCATGTTCATATTTCAACCTTTGACAGTTAAGAGAACTCATAAATTTTAAAACCATCATTCTCTAGCTGTCTCTGTGTACAAAGCACATTATTATTCCTCTGCCTATATAGTACTGCTTTCTGCATTAGAGATACATTTTATTTCCTTTTCTATTTTTTGACCTTCTCTTGCATTTTTCTCTGTGTTTCATTCATGTGAAATGGTTGTGTAATTACGTGGCACAGACTGTGACAATCCCATAACACTGCCAGTTATGTGGCCACATCACATAAGACCATTGAGGGATTGCAGCATTTTTTTTTTTGTGGACAGAACTGCATACTGTAAATAAGGTACACTCAACCTACGTGCACATATGTTTACCAATAATTACATAATGTGTAATTTAGATAACATTATTAGATTATGATTTGCTCAAATTAGAGCAATGACTGTTTAAGACTTTACCTAATGCTTCTGCAACCAAAACCCATCACAACAGTTGTCTGGCTCATGATTTCAGCCAGTAAACTTTAAAAAGAAAGAACCTAAGAACTGGACACACCTCACACCAGAGAAAAAACCTTTGACAAAATCTGACTTAAATAAAATAGTAATATATATGTCTTAAAAACATTCTTTCAACAGTGAGTTTTAGAAGAGTTTATGGTAGTATTTCCAAAACATGCACATTGCATACGTGGTAAAACTAAGGATGACAAAGGTTAGAAAAGGTAAAGACTGCACAGAGTACGGAATGAAGCATATGACACATCATCTAACTGGGAAATACTTTTTATCCAACATTTTACATTATGTATATAAATTTAAGACACTAATTCTGTATAGTTTGGCCTTGCTCCATTTTTTTAACCCCACGGAATTATATCAACAAGAATGTTGCTAATTTGGCAATAAAATGTGAAGTGTATATATACGTGTACATACAGTATAAATTGGCTTGTAGGCATCCTAACACTGCCCACCATCAGAGGAACTTTTCGGCATCTCTGATACCGAGTATTTTAATTTGTAAATTTTCAGATTGTTAAAAAGCTCATACACCTCCTCCTGACAACCTACAGAACTTCCCATTTCAGAAAACAAAACAAAACAAAACAAAACTTAAATGCTGCAAAGAAAAGAAAAGAATTAAACATAAAAAGAGTAGAGGGTATTTTATGATGTATAAAATATATAAAATAAATTGTAGAAATAAGTCTGATTTTATACACTGTTTTTAGTAATGTCACTATAATAACATACAAATCCAACTTACTCTCTTTCAACAAATAACACCGTGGACATATTATAAAGATTGAGGTATGTGACTTACAGAATTTAAGAACTTTTAAACTTGTCTGATTGACAAGAACATGTTTTCTGTCAATAATGTAATTGGTGCTGAATTATATTTAAAATATTTGAAATATTTTTTAAAAGGTTGATTTAGAAACTTTAAAAAAATCACAGTAGCATTTGATGTCTTAAAACAATAACCCTAAAATCAGTTTATAAAACTAGAACTCTATCTACACAAATGGGTTCTTGTGCTCAAACATTTTCTTCTGATGTCCATCAATGGATGACTTGATTGTCAAATAGAGATAACATTAAAGAATAAAATAAAATTTAAAAATCTGTTTGTTTTTACACCATGTATACATTTGGAAGCATCACCAAGGCATAGCTGAATGCTGCAAAATCCCACAAAGAAGTAAGTTCTTACCATAACTTGTACTTGTCTACTGTGATGTATTGCAGGATCTAACTCCGGCAAAAAATGACAGCTGGGAAACATGCAGAATAGAAATTTCAATAAATTCCATTGTACTGAGTTCACTAAAATATCTGCACAGAATCTTTTCCTGGAAATACTCCTGCTTAAGTACAAATGATACTCTTTAAAATAATTCCATGTTTATGATGTATCAAAGTAATTACTATTAATGGGTAATGTTAAAGTAGCAGAGTAATTAATATTAAAATTTTTGTACTTAAGATTAAAATCAATTAAAAATTAACAATTAACATTGTTTATTCCAATGACAGAATACTAATTAAAAAATATAAATATCAATAAATAGAACCATTCATACATTTTTGCATATATTGACATAAATTACTGACAAATCAGTTGTCATATTACTTTATGTAGGAATATTTTTTTTTCATTTACATAAATGTATCAGCTACATAGTTAAATAGCCTACCAGTGTATAGGTGTATGTGTATAGCCATAGATGTATAGCTATATGCATAGCTGTAAATTTATAGCTAAACAGTCTACTAGTGATGTTCCAATCCAGATCAGTGGGTCTTTCACCACATACAAAAATGGTATCATAATCTTTAAAAATGTCATTACAAACACTAGTGTATAGCGTATACCTGCAGAGGTAACGTAATAGATTTAAAAAAATTCTTTTATAAATTTCTGTGTCTTCTTACTTTCAAACATCATTATATATTCTGTTTCAGTGTTTTCATTCAAATTAAAAGCCATGGCAGTTATCTTAAACAAATACTTGGAGTCTTCCACTACTATAGAACACAACTGACAAATATTTTCTAAGAAGTATGTGCTGCATATACCTCCTACAGTCATTGAGACAACTTAGAAATGTGGAATATTTTTCCATGCAGAATGTAAAATATGCAATGAATTTCATTACAAATTAAATACATTTTTAATGAGAGTAAAATTAAAATGCTTACACTAAATCCATTGCTTGCCTACTTACACCTTGTTTGGTTTTATGAGAGGTGCTTGGCTTTGTGTCTACTAATGACTTCACTAAATTATCAATGGTTTATGCTGAATTTATGACCAAAGTATACTTACTATGTCTTCATGTTAGTTTAGGGAATGAGATTAAGCTTTTCTTTAACTCTATTTTCATTAACTGTATTTTCTTTAACTGTATTTTACCTGTTTAATAACCAAATTCAAATACAGAGGGAGCATGTCTACATAATTTTACTGAAGTATACTATGAAAATGTAAAAGCTAGGTTTATATTTTGAAGACAAAATATATTCTGTCTAGTTAAAAGTGGGTTTTTTACTTTCTTAATCAAATCTAACAATATAGGTAATGTTACAGTTGATCTAATTACATAAAACCATAATCTATACCAATAAAGTCATAAAATATATGATGATTAAGCACTTTTTTCTACACTCTCTTAACAATAGAAAAAAACACTATATTGCTTGTGTAAAGATATGTAGATATTTATCATAAGTTTCTACATTGTTTATCATTTCATTATTGCTGTGGAAGAAGTATCTGTGCAATGACTACTAAACCAACTCTAAAGGGTACCATGTTTGGGACCCGGAAATATGGTGTACTCTCTGCTAGCTACAAAGTCATGTTTGTTTTGGAACTATTAACCTAGGGTTTCACTTTACAAGATAAATTTAAAATAAAATTAAAAAAAAAAACAAAAAACAAATCTAATTTATAGGCAATGACCTCACCACTTCGCATTTTCAGAACTGGCCGTTTTATAATCCAAAATCTGTGTATGAAGAGACTGTCTTGTAAAGTCTTTTCTCCTTTGCAATTTCTCATCTAAAGTAGTATCCAGCTGAGAAAATTCTTCTTTTTTACCTGGGGAGGACAAAACATACTTCTTTCTGTTCCTATTATTTTAAAATGATTACTTTTTTTTTAAGATTCCTGAGATAAACTTGGAGTGTTATTGCCTTTTAAAAAAGAAAAAAGGCAATTACTTAATTTTCTTGCAAGGAATCCAACTAAGATGAATTTATTCAGATATATTTAAGAAATGTTTTAAAATTAATTTGGAATTTTATTGTTTATTTTCTCTTTTAAGATTAAATATTTGTCTCCTGAATAAATTTATTTTTACTGGGAAATAAGATTCTCCTTTATTCTGAATTATACATAGAAATACGTATTATACATCAATTGCTTGTCATAGCATCTGTGATTGTTGCTTATTGTGCTATCTCTATCATTAATAGTACACATTAGTTTATATTTACAATTCTATTTACCAATCCATAAGAATAAAAAAAACCAAAATCACCACTACAAGCAAGAAAGGACACATGGCAATCTTATTCCTCTGATCTGTCTCTTACTGATATGACAGATAAAGACATTTTAATGGCAATTTCTGATACTGGATTTCAAAGCAACTGTATACATTAAATTATTTTTCTCAAATTGCTACATACTTTTGTATCACAAAATTCTTTTTGAATACTCTTTGAATCACAAAAGCCATCCAAAGATATAGAATAAAATAGTGACATCATGGAAAAAAAAGTTGTAAAATCCTGGGGATCCTTCAGTTTTGGGGATCATTCTGCTGAATACTAGATACATTTTGAAGCATAAGGAAGAAGATAGTAGAATTGGAAGAGTCTTTAGAGGAAGCATCATTATTGCATGGGGACATTCATGAATTAGAATAACTGTATTTTCTACCCTTATACATCAATTTTATGGGGGTTTTTTTGGCACCTTTGATTCAGGGCTTTTAAGAGGCATAAATTTCTTTATTTTTTTTTGTACAAAAGGTTTTTTTCTCTTGAATATCATTTCAGATGACACGGAGTTATCCTCCCTCTTGCTGATTATTCCTTTTTTCCTTCCAAAGATTTTTCTTTTTCTTGGGAATAAGTGAATTCAGCAGCTCCTAGAAGTTGCTTAGTAAACTGCAGAAATGTACCTGTCCTTTTGCACTTGAACCAGCAAAGAACGTAGGTCACCTCACTTTGTATCAAGTCCATTTACCAACTATGAATGATTTAACTATCAATAACTGTAAAGGGGTGAGGGAGATGTCAGAACTTCCTTTGAGGTGAATAGTTTCCTCATACTCCATATTTTAAGCCTTAGCTTTCATTCATGTTTTGACAACATAAACTGAAGTTACAGGCTATTCACCAACTCAGTTTCTAAGTTTTGTTACATTACCTGTAATAGTTTTTAAACTTATCCTTGTGTAAAAATTATAGTGTACTTTGCATATGTTGCAAAATGTAGCAATTTACCTGGCTTTGCAGTGAGCTCCCTGCTTTCATGTTTTAGCTCTAAGGGAATACTGCTGAAGTATCATATCTTATTTCATAGTCTGAAATGTAAATATCTTTTGGTTGTGCTCTCCATTTATCTGGGTATAGAGAATCTCTATTCATATCAAAACCATTCCTTAGGCTGATTGTGGTCAATTGCCAAACCCCTAACTAGCCTATTAAAATTAGGCAAGGTCCTGGTCCAGAATATGAAGTCGTATATGTCTTGCTAGTAACTCACAGACTAGAACTTGGGCAGAAAAATTTATCCTCAGTTGATGTCAAGAACTCTCTTCCACCTCTTTAGGAAGGCAGAAAATGAAAAACTTGGACACTCACCATATGTACCCAAATGAGGTTGTGATGATCGACTAAAAAGGTCAAGCAGTGAACTGCTTAGTCAGTGACAAATATTAAAAGATTAAGAGTTCTAATTACAGAATTATTTTTTTTTTTTAATTAAAGTGGGAGCCATGTATTCTTTTCTAAGTTTACAATATTGCCTTCCCCTGTTCCTGGTTTAGGAGTAGTTTTCTGACCTTTATATTTTGAAAACTCAAAGTTTCCAAGTCTGCAAATAAAAAAACCCCACAAGATGCATATACAATAAGCTATGATAAAACTTACCAAAAACTTGGCAAGGTATTTTTCCAAAATGATTGTTAATAATTTGCCTTAGTTGCAGTTTAAATATTGACTGAATTACGTTTCAAACACAATTGGCTTTATTCAATAAATTTTTATTCTGAATTTATTTTTATTTATGCATGTTAATTATGGAATCATAATTGAAACAAGGAAGTGATCAAGATGAAAGTGAACACAATAGTGGTTGTTTTTTCCTTAAAAACATACATACTATTACACAGAGTATTCTTGTTCCATATTAGTGGCAATAGTGGCTTTTTTTCTCAAATGGGCAAACACTGTTTGCTACAATAATTTGTTTAATAATGCTGGAGAAAATGGTATTCTATTTTCTTATTTGGAACATACCTATTTTCTTACTTTTTAATGGCAACATCTCTATTTTTAATTCTTATTAAAAATACTATGCTATGAATTAAAACACAACATTATCACTTCTCTATTCCACTTATGAACATAATGTGTTTGAGGATCTGGTCTAGCAGTATCATTAACATGCATTTGCTTGATAGCTTTCTTAAATTAGGGCTCTGGGTTTTTTTAAAACCTGGACCTGATTTTGTAGAAGTACTAACACTCACAAATTCCGCAGAAGTTCCAAAGAGCTGTAAGCATTTTGCATCTTTGAAATAGATCAGACCTATAATCTTTAATTGTTAAACCCAGACAACTCTTAGAATATCAAAGAAAAAAGGAACACATCAAAGAAGGCATAACTCCACCAAAACCCAAATTAATCTCAGAGGTATTTAAAGTATCATACCCTCATTAGATTATCACTTCTAAGCTTTCAATCTTTTTGACTTCTTTTTTTACATGACACACACGTTAATAATTTTAAGATTGGAATAGTCTTACATTTGGCATTAATACAGTAATGATTTTTAGGTGTTGCCAATTAATCATTCACATATATACTTTGCGCTTAGGCCAGATCCAATGCAGCTTACAGGGGCACCTACTGCCATTCTCCTACGGAATTTGGGCCTCTAAGTAGAGAGAATGTATTCAGAAGAGCCTGGACACTTGAAATGTCCTTGGAATTGAACATTGCAGGAAAATAAATTCTTTTCTAGGTCCCAAATTAAACATACAAATCCATAAGAACCTGAACTTTAGGATCAAGGAAAATGTCATCCTCCATCTGTCAAATTTGTTTGCTGGGCATGCTCTGAGACAGTGTGACTCACATTCAGTTTAAAATATGAATGTTGTTTATGTACTTTAAACTAGACTATCTCTGGATAATCCATTAAATGAGTTAAAGGAGAAGGGCTAAGAATTTGTGGACTACTGGTTAAGTGTCCTAAATTCTAGATAGAGTCAGTTTTCTTCTCATAAGTTTTTCTTCAAGACTGATGCATCTTGTGACCTCAGCTGTAGCATTCAGCTTTAAAAGGAGGACTAAAACATACCCAAAAGGAATAGCTTGGCATGTGAAAGCTGGAGATTTCAAATCTTACTAGGCTAACGAGTATCTAAACCCTATGATTCCCACTGCCTAAGAAGTACCTCATAGCCATGCTCCCCAGCACTAGGGCAAGCGTTCTTAACAACAAGACAGTACACTAAAAGAAGGAAGATAGTTACGCAATATCTACCTTCAGGGTGATACTTCTTATTCTGCATTTCAGTTTTCAGATTTTATGCCCAGGAAACACTGATCTTGATTGCTGTAAATTCCAGTTAGTTACTCAGCATTGTCCATTTATATGTAAAAGGATGCTGAGGAACCCCACTCAACACAGTGATTCTTTTTTTCAAATCTATTTGTTGATGATGGGAAAAGGTCTAACTTTAATACGTTGTATGTTTCTTGAAACTGAGAAATGTGTGGAGAAGTCTGCACTGTATCCAACCTTCTACAGTTAAATTTTCTGTTTTGAGGGTGACTTAATTAACTTCAAAACTTGCTTCATACAGAGTACAATACAAATAAAGCAAGAAACTAAGAAAACCAAGACCTACAACGTGAAAGAAGGGTTTGGAATTTCTTCAGCATTCTAAGTTTTCCTCTCTTAATATAAAAAATCTGTGGCCAGAGTTAACTTTCTCAATATGTACTGTGGAAATGGTGCTGTTAATATAGGAATTAAGCAGCTCAGTTTGAGTATAAAATGAATATCTATGCTTTTAATACAGTCAAATTTTTCTTATCTGTCAGTATTCTGGTATATGTTACTGGTCAGCAATACACATTGTGAGTCTGTGGATGAGTGTAGAAACTCTATAAGAATATTATTCTGAACGAAAATCAGAATTATATGTACCCTGTGAGGATTTTAATAATTTCTGTCTTCCATAAAGTTATAATACCCATTAATAAACAATCCAGAAATCCAAAACCTAAAATTCATCTTTTTATCTCATTTTCTCCATATGTTAGTCAACAAACAAAATGACATTATTTCCATCACAATCTATATAATACAGAAAGCAAAAAATTACATGAGTAATAACATTGCTATCAAGGCAAGAAACTGCAGAATTTGGACACATACAGGAAAAAAAAATAATAATAAAAACACAATAACCCCTAACCTCCACTTCCAAAACCACCCAGAAATTTATAGTAAAATGTGAAAGAAATGAGAGGAATTTTTCATCTTCCACAAAAAGCTTGACACATTGCTTTACATAGCAACCACTACATGCCCAAAAAGTGTTTTCGGAAAAAGAATGATATTTAGAGTAGTCTTCAGCATGATCATAGGTAGTCAGTTAATATATTAATATTAGTAACATATGTAAGACCTCCAGGAAGTTGGTATTATCATGTGGCAGTAACTGATACAGAGTTCTTGCCACCTAAAATTATAGTATCTCCAGAAAATGTTTATCCACAAGTCAATTTTAAGATAGTGAAACACATTTCTACCTTAAAAAAACACAGAAAATTGTTTGTGACATAACTAA